GGGGGGCAGTGCTTCCTTCCTGTTCTTTCTTTGTGGTTCCTGGGTCTGTGGTTTGGGAAAGAAAAGGCCTGGTTGGTCTCATACTGCTGCCCCAAAGGGCATCCCTGCCACACCCACCAGGGGCACTCATGTCACTCCCAAATCAGGAGCTGGGACAGGGGGACTTGCGCAATGTCCACCAGTGTCGGCCATCAGCCACTGGGGCTCCAAGTCAGGGTTGGGCGGCCTCTCCCTCTGTTTAAAGAGCACCTGGAAGCTTAGGTCTCCAGAGCTCTGCCCCTGCCTCTTCCTGCCTATGCAACCAAGGTGAGGACTGGGGGACCCTGGGCAGCATGGCTGTGGCTCCCGAGAAAGCCTGAAGAAAGCCTGGCTGGAGCCAAAGGGCTGTGCTGGGGAGGCGAGAGCAGGGCACCATCTTTGCTGTGTCGAGTGCCCCCAGTCCTTGGAAGTCCTCCAAGGGGATGGAGGATTCGGGGAGGCGGGCAGTTTGCATTCTGCAAGGACCCCACTGTGCTGTGGCCCCTGCCAGGATGCTCCCTGCTGAGCAGCCCCACAGCCTCAGGTGCTCCCCCTCCCCCAGCCCATTCGTCCAGGCCAGGGCAGCCATCCGGTCAGGGTTGAGGAGAACAGGGCCCTGGGTCAGAGCCCTGCCAAGAAGGGGCAAGTGCATGGCAGGGGGGACCATCCATCAGGCCTGCCGGGAGGCCTTTACGTCTAGAACATGTACAGTGCCCCAGACTGCTGCCCTGAAAGGCATCTTCAAGCTGCAGATTCTCTGTTCCCCTAAAACCTCCCAGGATCCTGCAGCTCCGAAACAAAACACAAACAATGAAGGCAGAGCTGTGGCGGCTGAAGGAGTGGACAAAAGGCCCAGAGCCCTCCCAGAGCTGTGCCCTGGGCTCTTGGGACAGGTCCGAAGTGACCACCTTGGCCCGAGGGCCTCCACCTCTGTTGTCCTGTCAATGGCTACTCCTTCTCTAAACTCCCCCACAACCGGCTGTCAGCAAACAGGCTCACTGGGTCATACACAGCGAGTTCCTTCTGGACTGAAACTCTAGCAGGAGCAAGAGAAGAAAGGGTCCCCTTCTTCATGCTCTGTCTTCCTGGGAGAGGTGTTCGTGTTGGCTGTGATGTCCCCATTGTGTGCTGGGCACTCCTGCATGTCCCCGGGGCAGGGCTCACACTGGTCCTCTTTCTCAGAGAACAAGACTGAGGGACAGAGAGGTGGAAGGTTGTCTAGGCTATGCTGCTCTCAAGAGCCTGTCCCCAGAGCCTCCTCCTTCCCACTCCCAACACCACCTGTGGGTTAAGGCTCTGGGCTGCGAGGGGTGGACGAGGCCTAAGGGAGGCAGAAAGGTGGACGCTGCTGGACGCTGGAGACCAAGGACCCTGGCTTTCCAGGGCCCCTTCATGAGGCAATGCAAGCTCTGAGCTGCTGGGCAGGGAACCTGGGTGCTCTTCCCAACAGACCCTCCGATGGGCCAGGAGCCTTCAAGCAGCTGGAGTACTAGGTGAGCGCTGGCTGGAGCGCGACCTCGGTCTCCTCCGGCTGGGGATGGTCCACCCTGTGGGACGGCCCCTGCACAGCCACCAACCCACACCAAGAGCCCGGTCTCAGGGGTGTCCTGGGCTCTTTGCTTTGACAATCTGGCCATTTGGTGTTTTGAGAACTAGTATGATGTGACCTCAACATTCTCTTTCCAACCTTTTCCCTGTGAATAAAAGCTCTAATCATCACATAAGTTATAGTGAAAATTAACAAAAATCTCAGGTCTCTCCCAAAGAGACAGTTCCCTGTGAAGCAAACAGTCAGCCAGCCGTGCAGGGTGGTGCCTCCCAGGACACATGCCTGGCAGCCCTCACCAAGGGCAGTCTGTGCAGCACCCAGCCTCGACCAAGACATATGGGAAACTGAGGCTTGCAGAGTGTCCAGCGGCAGGTGGGCACCTGACCAGGTCTTCTTCCCTGCAAAGCGGCATCCTCATCACTGCGCTCTGCTCAGCAGTGGGGGGCCCTGCCCTGCTGGCCTGGCTGGGTGGGGAAGGTACAGCATGCTGCAGAGATGCGCACATCGGGGACCGACAAAGGGCCCCCAGCTGGACCTCCCGCTCCAGAACAAAGGAAAGTTGGTGTGCTTGGCTGAGCAACGGACCTAAAACATCCTGTTCTAATCCACATGGATATGTCACCTCACATGGCAAAAGGGACTTTGCAAATGGGGTTAAGGCTTTTGAGAAAGGAGGGGACCCTGGACATGCAGGTGGACCTGATGTGATCACAGGGTCCACAGGAGGCGGGCAGAGCCTGGGGTGAGGTGGCCGCAAGCAAGGGCGCCGTGCGGCTAGATGTCAGAAACAGCAGGAATCGGCCTCTCCAGACGCAAGCGGCCCCGCCAACACCCCGACTTTCACTCCACAAGAAGGACTTCTGACATCACGACTGTCAGAGAATCAGCTGTGTTGTTTTAAGCCCCTCCAGTTTGGGATCATTTGTTACAGCAGCAACAGAGAACTTGCATAGCTGGCAAAGTCCACACTGCAGAGGAAGGCGCCACGGGCCCCCAGATCCAGCCACGGCGAGAGCCCGTCCCCAACTTACCAGCTGTGCGCTGAACTCGGGGAGCATCACACAGGTGGCCCCCACCCAGAGGGGACAGAGCAGCTTGTTGACGATGCCGTGCACGTGATGCAGCGGGAGGACGTGCAGGATCACATCGTCTTTACTCCACGCCCACTTGTGGACCAGCCCCAACACCTGTGGGACGACAGGACAGCCTCAGACGGGAGGGAAGCCACCAGGCCAGCGAGGCCTCCCCAGCTGGGAAGAGGAGCAGGGAGGCTCACGCTCTGGCGCCTGGCCCTTCACGGCATCTGAGGGGGACGGTGGCCACGTGCCCGAGGGTCTGTTGGCTCACTTGCAGACCCCCACGTCCAAGAACAGAGCTGGACAAGGCCAGGGCTTTGGTGTAGGGGGTCCCAAGTCCTCCGCATGCGCTCTTGGTGGCTCTTCCCCCAGGCAGTCGGAAGCGTGGTTTTGGCTCTAGCGGGCCCTGGATTCTGGGCATCTGCAGAGTCCAGGCCTGAATCCGAACGCCCGCCCTGCTCTGCCTGCCTGATTCTGGAACCTCCCTCAGTGCAGCTGAACGGTCGGTCACAGGACCTGGAGCCGGGTTTCCGCCACATCCTGAGCTTTGAGTAAGAAGCACCGTGAAACACGCCCATTGGAATCTTCTGGAAATCACCAGTGAGGACGCCACCTGCATGCCCCTGTGAACGCTGCGGGCAAACACACGTGACATACACACCCCTTTACAGGCACCAGTCAACAGATGGTCTCGCCAGACAAAACGTCTGCCTCGCAGGAGACAGAAAGCCTACCAATGAGGCCGTGCCTGCAGTCAGCCTGGACTCAGTTTACCCCTGCCGTGGGGACTGAATTAGGCTGAGACTCAATGGCACTGACCTCACACCTCATCTCTGCGGTTCTGAGCGTCTCTCTTACTGCTCCTAGCGTACGAGAGTCTGGATCGTACACACACACATTTTTTGGAAGCAGGGAGGACATAAACGACAGGTAAATAAAATAGCTGTGGAGCTTGGCTGAGATGCTAAGGCCACAGAACACGAAAATAGTGCCAAAACGTAGGCTCCGAGTCCTGTGCTCGGGTTTCCCAGTGCTAATCATACATCCTGAACGTTCGCTCCGCAGCTGCTTCCTCTGAAACCCTCACCATCGTGTATGGGCCACTCTGTCCTTCACTGGCTGCACGGCCCTGAGGAGCCCTCGGTGGGCCCCTAAGTCCTTCTTAGCCTGAGTGACCACCCCCGCCTTTCCCAGAGCCGTCCCCCACGGGTTAGCAGGACTGGTGGTCACTTCTGGCCACAGGCTTCTGGGAGGGCGGGCAGAACGGTGGCAGCTGGGGGCGGTCGCCTAGGAAAGGCGAGACAGACCACCCCCAGAAGCCCCAGCACGACAGCACGGGAGCACTCACCATGGCCCTGATGTTGTGGTGAGTGCTCAGGACACCCTTGGGCCTCCCCGTGGTCCCGCTGGTGTAGATGATCATGGCGCCTCGGTCTCTCCAGTTCCGCTCCCGCACCTCCCACTCCCCAGGCTCCTCAGCCGCCGCACCATAGACCGTGGGCGGGACAGGCAGCAGCGGGACCCCCAGCTTCCCGACCAGTGGGCGCAGGAGCTCCACGTACTCCTGGCCAGCGAGGACCACAGAGCTCCGGGAGTCCCGGATGAAACACTCCAGCTCGGCCCGGGGGTGCTTTCTGTATAGGGGGACAGCAATGCCTCCGCTCATCCATGAGGCCCACTGCGCGACCACGTAGGAGACATCGTTAGAGCACAGGAAGGAGACCCTCTCCTCCTGGAGGTCCCCGCCAGCACACTCGAGGAGACGGCACACCTCCTGGGACAGGCGGAGGCTGTGGTAGTAAAGGTCCTTGTACGTGTGGTGGCCATGCTGGTCAATGAGAGCAATCCTGTCCGCAAAGGCCAGGGCGCGGGTGAACACAGGGGCGCTCCTGTCAGCACAGGCGGCTGGGGCCGTGTGCAGGCGGCTGCTTCCTCCGCATCTCAAGGGGGCGGGCCGGTGGGAGGCCACAGCACAGAGCAGGCGCCGGAGGGACATCACTGGGTGGGGCAGCATCGCGGACACGTCCAGCTCGATGTACCTGGGGCGGGGCCGGAAGAGAGAGGAGCGCCAGTTACTGCCGCCGATCTGTTCTCACCTCCCCGCCAGACAGAGCCTGCCCAACCTCATTCACAAGGTAACCTCCCCACACAGGAGGCCCTACACACCATACGGCACCGTCCGGATTTAGGGCCCAACATTCCACCTTTTATTTACTCTCAGCAACAGATTTCAAAAATATACAAGATTCTAAAACAATGAAACTCGGTAAAACCAAGGAAAAGCAAATTCAATGCCCTTGAAGTAAATTCTGAAGAATGGTTTTTTTAAAAAATCTGAGCTGGAAAATCACTAGCCAAGAGGGGAAAGCCCTGAGGGCTGCTGAGCACCCATTCGCTGTCCATCCAGCACTCGCGGGCTGCTGAGCACCCATTCGCTGTCCATCCGGCACTCGTGGCTCAGTACACGGCCCGCTTCTGTTCCGTGCACTTCCAACGGGAGGGCATTCGGAAACACGGTGGCATGCAGAGTCTCGAAGTGCGTGTACGCGTCTCCGGGGTGTCAGTCTGGCTTTAAACTGAATCCTGACTCCTCCCTCCCCCTGCGAAGGGTGAGCCAGTCAGGGCCAGGCAGCGTCCTGCAGCGGGTCTGGCTCCGTGCCCACGTCCTGCTCGGGGACAGTGCCTCACGGGGACAGCCGTGGGCGTCAGCACTTAACAGGGATGGGTGCACACTTCCAAGATGGCTTCTGCAGGGACAGTTCAATTCCAGAGGCCGGGAGCCCGCCTGCTACCCTGGACTCTGCCTCCAGCGTAACCGGCAGGCTCCTTCCCAGAGCCAGGGCAGACCGCAGGGTCAGTAACAACCCTTCGCTCTGGTTTGAAATCCCCCGTTCCACAGTTCCTTCAGGGGTCGCTCTTCCCCACCATCACCTCTGGTGCTCAGACGGTCACTGCCTCCCTCCCTGGGCACAACCCCGGACCTCAGCACCTTTCTGGGCTCCGCGACTCACTTGTCCCCGGGGATTTCTAACGAGACCACTCGACACTGACAGTGAAAACGCACCCCCCATGCTACGACGTGTTTGCACCTCTCAACCTCACCTTCAAGCACCCTGTTCAGGAAACAAGGACACCACCTTTGACCCTATCTCACACGGAAGAAAAGTCAAGGTTGCTCAGCCCCCAAGTCCCAGACAGAGCCCAGCCTGGGCCTTCCCTGCCCCAGCCAAGCACAGCAGAGCCGGCAGCCGCGTCCGCCCATGGACGGCATGCCCGCCGCTCCCACGGGGGCCAGGCACGGGGACCCCAGAGGGCACCTCTGAATGCCACCGGCTGACGGGACGCCTGCCGGCCAACAACACAGCAAAACGGAAGCCACAAGTCTTCTTTCCGACAGGCCCAGCAGAACAGAGACGCGCAGGAATGACCTGGGCAGGGGGGCGGGAGGCCAGGCACCCCTGCTGCCTCCCTCCCGCTCGGTCTCCCAAGCCCTCCCCCTGCTCAGATCCACACTTTTCTCTCTCCCAGTAACTTGCTACAGGGGAAAGCTAATGTGTTATTGTTTGTTATGAGCACTAAACAGTTTTGTTCTCTGTTCTTAATTTAAGAACAGATTATACGCAACACTTTATAATTACCTAACAAAACAAACAAGCTGCAGGGCAGGAAAAACTGCCGGGAACAGGGTTATGCCTGGAACGCCAGCCCCACAGCGTGGAGAGGCTCCAGCTCCGGCCATGTGGGAGGAGACCCCGCAGCCGCTGAGGACCCTCTCAGCCGCCGCTGTATGCTCCGAGGTCCTGTGCGAATATTCCTCAACGCTCCACAGCCTCCACCGAATGGTCGGTTCTCAAATGCACTAGACCCACTCTATTTCCAGATGAAAGAGGCAGTCATCAAAACCCGCAGTGTCCTACAACTTCTCTGTGCCCTTGTCCCGACCTCTACACAGAGTTCAGAGGTGGATTTGGGGCTGGTTCCACACCTCTGGACTTCTGTTACCATAGAGAAACCTGACACGTGGTAAGGAAACAGTAAATGTGATAAGCACGCCAGATATGCTAGTTTCGGAAAGAAAGAGAGCGGCTGAAGAGCAAACCCACATAGCCGAGACATGTTTCCTGTCCTCACTTCTCGCAGATCCTCCTGTTTGCCCTACAGGCGGTGGGAAAACAATACAAAACAAAGAGAGCCTGCAAACAGAAAACCTGCTACACGGCATTTCTGGCCAGATTCTTGCTGGGGAGAGTGCAAGAGAGACATTCCAGGGTGCTCGCTGGAGGGGACAGCATTCTCTGGGGTGCTAAGGAATAGGGCACCCCAGTGGCCGGAAACGGCTGCTTCTTCCACCCCTATCCCGAGAGGCATGAGAGGTGGTGCCAGACCCGCAGCTACAGAAATCGATGCCACTCTCCTTTCATCCACACCCGCGTCCACATCTGCCCCATAAGGGGCCTCCCCTCCAGGGTCTCAAAGAGCAGACACCTCCTGCCTCCCTCACTGGGAGAGGGGAACGTGCTGCCTGCTTCTCCAGGGACCCCAGGAGCGGCAGCATCCTGAGCCAGACGGCGGCGGTGAGAAGCTGGAGCCCGAGCACTTGCAACACAGAACAGGCAAACAGGGCTGACCCCACCTTCCTCCCGTGCGGGGCCTCGATGGCCTCCATAGCAGGGCTGGGGGTGGACGCCACAAGAGGCAGTCACAGCAACAGCCCCCAGGGAACCCGAGAGGGGAAGTCCCCTGCCTGAGACCTCAAAACAGCAGGAGAAGCAGTGATCCAAGCCCAGGCCTGGCTGGTCCCCCCACACCCCCAATTCGGCCATAGGACAAGCAGTGAGGAGCATCCACAATGGGGGGATGCCCAGAGACACTGACATCTGAGTCAACTCCACAGGCCCCGGCAGCCACAACCCAGGCTGCCCCCAGGACCTGGGGGTGGCCCCTCTGGCTAGGCGGGCCCCAGGGCATCAACTAAGCCCTCCAAAAGGGTAATTCAGCGTCACTTCCAAGATGGGACAAAAAACTCCAAAAAATACACACCCTTTGTTCCCATGGCTGTTCTCTTTAAAATGTGTCTTCAGAAAACAATCAGAGATGCACAGAGGGGATGCTCATGACAGCGTTATTTATGATACTGAAAACTGGGTCTAAACCAAAGGGTCCAGACGGGGTGTGTGGCGGTCAGTCGTGGAGGGCGTGTGCTGGCCTTTAGGTAGCGTCCTACAAGACCACCAAGGATGGGAAGGTAAACACCCAGGTGTTCATAAGGTTACAGGGATGCAGATGATTCCTGTCTTTTCCTAGCACTTACCAATTTTCTCCAATTTTTCTGAAATGAGCATGTATGACTTTTACAATCAGTCTTTTAATTTTTTTATTTTTTATTTTTTTTAAAGATTTTATTTATTTATTTGAGAGAGCGAGAATGAGAGAGAGTACATGAGAGGGGGGAGGGTCAGAGGGAGAAGCAGGCTCCTAGCTGAGCAGGGAGCCCGATGCGGGACTCGATCCCGGGACTCTGGGATCATGACCTGAGCCGAAGGCAGTTGCTGAACCAACTGAGCCACCCAGGCGCCCTACAATCAGTCTTTTTAAAAGCCTAATAAATATCATTTGTTTTTTAAAACTGGAGATGCTTCAACTTCAGTATTAGTATTTTCTTTTACACAGAAAAGACAAAAACATAAAAAATTTTGTTCCAGATGGTGGATCTACAGCATTCTTCTCTTGGTTAGAACTTCTGGTTCATAGACGGTTTGTGCGGACATGACGTCGTCAGTCCTGCTACAGGGACACACGCACATGGGAGGCAGTGTGTCTGCAGCCAGCAGTCCGAGGAGTGTCTGGGCCAGGCGCTGGAGGCTGCAGGCTGGCTGTCTTGGGAGGGGCAGCGAGCTGCAGCTGCGGGGGAGGAGGGGCTGCTGGGCCCATGTTGTGGCAGGAAGGAGATGCGGGGCGCGTGCACCTGAGCTCACAGTGGGTAGTTCAGGAGAAGAGGCCCTCCCAGTGCTCAGCGGGGGGCCTCAACAAAAATAACTTTTAATTTGAGTAAATAGGGCCAGAGTCCTCCCCCGCCCAGAGAGGCTGCACTAATTTATTCTCCCACCAAACATGTGGGAGCATGGGGCCATCCCTTCAAAACAGCTTTAAGTCACTCAGGTATGTGACCCTGAACTCACTCCCTCATAAAAAAAAGGGGATCAGGGCCCTGCCTTGAACAAGCAAAAACATCAATCTATTCAGGGCAGATGACTGTGTGTCTCCCTCCCAAACACCTCTGGACCCCTCAGGAAGAGAGCCCCACCTTCGACCACGGGGCCTTTGGTTGTGGGGTTCCCTGTCACCCCCAGCGGCACAGCCTGGAGGGACACGGCCACCAAGTACATGCAATTAGGCCACGGGTTTTCGCTGTCTCAGTTACCCAGCTTCACAAAACTGCTCTCAACATGCCAGCCGGCCCAGGATAAGCAGCATCACTGTGCGGCGATGCGACAGAAGCTCAGCCAAAACCACAGAAATCTGCCTTTTGGGGAGCCGGGCCAGCCCTCCTCCCAGAGGGGGACATGCTGCTCTCAGATTCCACAGGCGCCCGGCCAGAAACGTGGCAGACTGGGTATCCTGACATCCAGACTCTCAGGCAGACCACCAGAGCACGTGGGCCTTGCAGAAGGCTTGCCCGACACAGGGTGGCACCTGTGGTCTCAGACTCACACACACCTGGACATCTGCTCCTCCCTTCCTAGTTTCTTCACGTGTGTAAGCCTTCCCGTCCCACCTGTAATAACAAGACCAGTGCAGGGACAGACGGCCCGGCCGCACAGAAGGGGGACCGATGGCTGCACCATCCCTAGCACGGTGCTCACCGGGGAGCCCCACGACAAAGATCAATTCATAAGAGTGATACTTGCATTCAAACGAAGGTGGCTGGTTTCGAAATGAATCAAATGGCACCTGACGGGCGACACCGGCCTGACCCCTCCACCCCCAGAACCCGAATATAAAGCAGAGCCCAGCACTTCCTGTGGTCTGCTGACTCTGAGGCCTGGGTGCAAGAGGGCCACATTCTCCTAACACCAAGCCTGCGGTTTCGGGGGCTTTTTTCAAGGTTATATTTTTAAGTGATGGACATTCACATTGCATTTACGAACACTGCATTCAAATCTAAACGCCATATGCTTAAACCTACATCCATATTAGGAAGTAAAACACCATCTCAAAAACGCCATCTGGAGGGATAAAGCTTGCTACCCCAGGTCCAGAGTTGACTCCACTGACTGAGCTGGCCTTGAAGGGCGCTGGGGCATGGGCCCTCTCGTCCCAGCGGTCACCTCCCAGGGCCCCCCCAGTGCCCGCTGGTGGCACTGCTGCTCCTGGGCCCCACCTGGGCCCCAGCACAAACATCTCCCCTCGGGGGGCTGCGCTTCCACAGCTCCCCACAGGACAGCTCTGACTTCTCACCCCTTCCCTTTCCAGCAAAGTCTTCAGCACCCTCCAAACCTGTCACTGTCTCCCCTGCCTCCCAGAAGGTGGCTGCTCACAGGGCCTTTCAAGCACCTGGCCCTCCGCTGTCACCGCCGGTCCCCAGACCCGCCCGCCCGCAGAAGGGGGCCAGGCCCCCACGTGCGCAGGCGCACCCCACACCCGGCTGGCCCTCCGCTGTCACCGCCCGTCCCCAGACCCGCCGGCCTGCAAAAGGGGCCGGCCCCCACGTGCGCAGGCGCACCCCACACTCGGGCGCAAGGCGGGCCCGAGCGGAACAGAAATGACTTTATTGCAGACGCGGGACATAAAGCGCCCCGGTAACGGGTAACGGAGGCTGAGGGCGGACCGACCGACCGCCCGACCCCCGCCCGCACAGCCCCCCGGGGCCGCGCCTCGGGCGGGGTCCCTGCACTTGGCACAGCACGTGACACAGGCCACCTGCGGCCACCGGGGCGGGGAGCCCTGCGCGGGGACACCTGCCGGGGCCCAGGGGGCGGCGGGCTCTACCTCGGCTGGCGGGGCACTCGCTCCTCCTCCTCCCGCGCGCGCTCCTCCTCCCGCTCCTCTTCGGGCCAGTCCGGAACCGGAACTGCGGCTGCGCGCGCACCCCGCGTCCGGCGCCCGAGCGCGTCCCCCGGCGCGAGCGGCTCTGCCGCGGCGGGTTCCGGGCGCCGCCGAGCCGAGGTGTCGCCTTCGGTGTGGCCTCGCTGCCTGGGCGCCCCGGTCCCGCGCGGGGCTGCCGCCGCGTCGCCACAGTCCACTGTGGCCTGCGGTGCGGGCGGGCCTCCTGGGAGGACGGCGCTGCCCTGGGGCGCGCGGCCTGGAGCAAACCCTCCGGACACGTGGGACAGAAAGACCGAGGGATGCAAAGGGCAGAGAAAGACAGGGAAATGGGCCCAAGCGGGAGGTCCTATTCGGAAAAGAGCGCGGCTTCGGGGAGGGAGAGAGGAAACAGAAAGAGACCGAGGAGAACCAGCAGGGCTACGGCTGGCTCCTGGGCGGAGGGCCGCAGAGGGCCCGGGCCGGGGAGGGCGCCTGGGCCGCAGCGGCTCAGCGGGCACAGGGTGGGCAGCGGGCACGGAGCGTGCGCAAGCAGATGCGAACTGCAGCCCGGACAGCTCGCTTGCGTGTTGGAGAGTCAGACACTTCCGCTGTTAGGCGCTGCATGTGGGTGTCCCCTAGAATTCTCAGGCTGGAACCTAACCCCCCATGTGATGCTATCAGCAGGTGGACCTCTGGGAGGTGCTCAGGCCATGAGGGACCTTCCTGCCTTGACAACAAGGGCCGGAGGGAGCTCCCTGGCCCTCTGGCTGCGCAAGGACGCAGCCAGACCGTTAACCAGCAAGCGGGTCCTCACCAGACACAGAGTCCACCCGTGCATTGGTCTCCCACTTCCAGCCTCTAGGACTGTCAGTTACAGCGGACTTCGGGCTCAGTCCTACAGACTCCTTCCATCCCAGCTCACATCCATTCCTGCTCCATTCTCCAAAATCCCTCAGGAGCCAGCCACCCCGGGGGGCCCTGGAAACCCTTACTTCACTCCAGATGACTGAGATAGCCCCGGCTGGTCCCCCTGCCGCCTGCTTCCAGTGGAAGCCTGAGTCAGATCCCAGCTTCCCCACTGGCCCTGCTCCCGCTCCTGGGGACCCCACCTCACAGGTGGGAGCGGCCATCCCTGGGAAGATGAATCTGGCAGATTATCTGGTGCGTGTACTCGAGATCTGAACAATCGAGGGAGAGTCTGGGCCTAGAAGAGGAACAATCACATAGAAAAGGGATGAAGAGAAAGGGTGACGATTCATACAGACAACACGGGAAGATGTGCAGCCAGGACAGAGAGATCATGTTGTTCTAGAAAGCTGTTCCCCACAGCACTTACAGACTCACAGCCGCGGAAACATTTACAAGGTACCCACTCCCCGCAAACGTTGATGTTGACTTAACCAAGTCTATGGCTGAGTCTTGGAGGGAGGGATGGGATGCAGGAAGGGTGCAGCTGGAGGGCCAGGTGTGGAGGGAGTGAGCAGGGAGTGTCCACCGCAGGGGAAGACAGTGACAGGGACACCCGTGGAGGCTGTTCAGGCACGTGGAGGGACGTAGCGTCACCTCTGGGCAGAAAGGGGGAGGGTGGTCCCTCAAACTGCATATAACTGTGATAAATAGACTATAAAATCATTTTTAAAGGGGGAGGGAACAAGGAAGCACTTCATGTAAACTCATGGCTCTTTTGAGCCTGCGGGAGCCCCCGCCCAGCATCGCCATGGTGGGTGGCTGTATTCTTGCCTCTGGCCCCCGAGCGAGGGTGCCCACCAGGCACAGTAAATCATCATTGCCCCACAGTGCTTCCACGGCCTCCCACTGGCCTCGTGGCAGTTCACGAGACAGCCAGGTGGTGTCTGGAGATGCCCACGAGCCCCCAGGCGTGTTCCAGGCACACGGATGTAGAGCCCCACCCTCCTGTAGCTCACGGGCTTGCGGCACGGCCGGGGGGGGGCGGGGAGTGAGTGGTGAGTACATGGGACACATGAACAAGGCACATGCCATGTGAGGTCATGGCCTGAATGTTTGTGTCCCCCAGAGTTCAGATGTTAAGAAGTGGGGTCTCGGCAAGGCAGTTAGGATAGATGAGGGCGTGAGGCAGAGCCCCCTGATGAGTCCCGGGAGAGCTTGCCTCGTTCTGCGCTGCGTGAGGTCAAGCAGGTGACGTCTCCCGGCCAGGACGCTGGCCCCCGGCACCCTGGGCCCGCTGGTGCCCTGATATAGGCCTTGCGTCCTGCAGAACTGTGAGGAGCCAGTGGTTGCTGTTTATAAGGCCCCAGACTGGCATTTTGTTACAGCCGCCCAAGCTGGCCGAGGCTGACGGTAAGCGCTCTGAAGAAGAATCAAGCCCGCAAGGTGGCCTCGAAGGCTTTCAAAACGGAGGCCCTGGGACCGCTCTGAGGAGGTGCTTCCAGGCAGGGGTCCAAGGGCAGCGAGGCAAGGAGCTGTGTGACCGTCTGGCAAAGGGCTGCATTGTCCCTTGTCTCACGGATGAGGAAACAGGCGCAGAGAAGTCACAACGTCTGTCCACACTCACGCGCCTACCACGTGACGGAGCTGGGATTTCCCAAACACAGAACCCACGTCCTGCCCGCCTGCTGCATGACCACCTTGTCTGTGAGGCTGACGAACAACCAGACACACGTGTCCCTCTGCTTCCAATCAGACTCTACCTATATGCCAGACCAACAGCCTCCATAAAGAACGAGTCATCTCCACGAGCTGTGTCCTCGGAGATGCTCACAGCCGTGCTACTCCCCACCGCCACAAACCAGGAAACACCTCACATGTCCTACAGCGGGTGAATTAGGGGAGCGAAAGGGTAAGAGGGAAGCCATATAGAATCCTAGAATTGCTTACAACAACCTGTGATTGAATGAAAATAGCATGAAAGTACTTTCCGGGGCGCCTGGGTGGCTCCGTCAGTGAAGCGTCCGACTCTTGATTTCGGCTCAGGTCATGATCTCAGGGTCGTGAGATTGAGCCCTGTGTTGGGCTCCACACTCAGTGCAGAATCTGCTTGAGAGACTCTCTCTCTGCCCCTCCCCCTGCTCGTGCCTTCTCCCTCTAAATAAAATCTTCAAAAAAAATAAAAAAGTACTTTCTTAAATCTTAACATTTAAAGAATAGAACACAAGAGTGCACGTGTGGTAGGATTTCCCAGTGTGTGTGTGGACAGTGTGCAGGACAGCATGAGACATGGCAGCGGCCGTCCTGTGAAGGGGTGAGCTCCTGCAGGGCCCCCCCATGCTGCCCTGTGAGCCCATACACGCTCCCTGCAGCTTTGAGCTGGTAGGGAGCTGGCCCCACGTGTGAACGTGCTGAGTCCTACAGCTGGCAGGCCCATGCCAGCCTGGGGAAGGAGGGCCCCTCACCTCTCCTGGAGCTCCCCCAGAGGGAGGTCCCACCTGTTCCAAACCTGGGTGACCCGTAGATCTGACCCTGGGAGGAGGGGTGCCCTTGGGAGGGAGTCTTGGGTGGGCAGGGTGTCCATGGGGCCGTGGGGCCCTGGCCTGCCCAGGCTGCTCCCCCATCTGACGGGGAGCCCCCACGAATGTAAGGGGGTGCTGTGGGTGTCTGGGGCCTCGCGTCTGCGGAACAGTAAGGGCAGCCCCACCTCCGTTCCTGGCGGAGTCCTGCTACAAGGACCTCGGGGCCAGGGCGTTCACAGCTGCTCCTACACACTGACCGCTGTCACTGGTCACCAGCATCCTGGTCAGCAGCCCCTCCACGGATGCCCCGAAATGGGTGCTCGGGACGTGGATGTTGGAGTAATGGAGTGGCTCCTCCAAAAGGCAGACTGAAGAGGCCTCTGCGTGGGGTGAGTGGCACCCCAACAATGTGGGCAGAATCGGGTGCAGCCCAGCCTCACCCTGAGGCCCCCTGTCCACTCCCAACTCCCAGCCCTTCCCAGAGGAAACTGTTCCAGCCGGAGCATCCTGGGAACAAGCAGAGAGGTGTGGTAGGAGTATCACCCTCCTTCCCCTTGATTCTGTTCACACCTCCAGCTTAATGAGCCCAAACTGCTGGGGGTGCTTGGGTCACACCTTTTCACTTGATTAAAGCAAAACACAGATCTGTCTGGCAGCAGTTTCCACAGAAAGGGAACACATTCCCTCCCTGCTGTCGGCTCTCACGCGGCTGAACAGGGAGCGGGTGTTGGCTGAGGAGGGGTTCGACGGCCCTAGATGCACGTACAGGGGTGGGCTAGTCAGCAGTGGCTGGGGGGCCTGTTCCTATCCTGCCTGCGGCTGCCAGCCCCCCACTATCTGTGCCCACGCATGTCCCATCCCAAGCGATAGGGCTGGCCCGCGTCAACACCAGGTTTGGAAGAATGGCTACATGCGGCTTCTGCGTGAGGTCATACGAGGCATTAGGATTCCACCCTGCTCGCTGTCAGTCGCCCACTTGGGGGCCGCTGCCGCCACGTTGCAGGACGCTCAGCAGCCCCGTGGACAGGCCCACATGCGAGGCACTGAGGTCTCCCGCCCACAGCCACGGGAGCCGCCACCTTGGAATCGGCTCCTCCAGCCCCGGTCGGGCCTCCAGACGAGCCTGCAGCCCCTGCCAACCTTCCAGCACAAAATTGGTGGCCCGCCCCGCAGAGCCGCTCCTGGACTCCTGACCTCGGAAACCGTGTAAGATAATAAACACTTGTGATTTTAAGCCACTAAGATCGGGGGTCGTCTGAACAATAGAGAACGAACACACTGCTCCGATCAGTTAGAGATGTGTGACATTTGGCAAGTTAACCTCCGGTCTGTTTCCACCTGAGGTAAGAATGCCTACTTCCAAGGGATATTGTAAAAATTAAGATTTTCCACGTAAAACCTTTAGCACTGTGCCCACAATATGGCAACTGCTGAATAGTTTCCCTCACCGTCATAGAACATCTATATAAACATCTGCATCACAGAACAGGAAGGGGTCAGGAAGACCTCAGTCCAGACAGGTGGGTTCAGGGAAGGTGTTCTGGGAGCAGCGTCTGAATCGGTGCTTGCATGACAAGCAGGACATGAGGGGGGGGTGGGGCGAGGGGAGGCAGGGCCTGAAGTTTCACTGTGGGTGGGGGGGGAGGGAACCGCTCAGCATGGTACTACGCAGCAAGGCCACGCCTGTCTCGGGGTGTGCCCTGCATGTGGGAGGTGCTCAGGAGACACCAAAGAGTGGATGAAGACCTCCCGACTTTCACATCTGCTCACCCCAGAGCATGAGCTGGGATTCCGGCAGGACCGATTATTAGAGAGGGGGGCGGGTATTGGTAGGAATGGCCAGGTGACC